ATGCAGGAGGCACAAGATAGAAGAGCATGGACTATGTTCAGCAGTGGACAACTATGGCTGTGTGATGATGAAGACAAATTGGCATAAACCTAATATTTGCCTGGATTAACTCCAATTTTTCTTAATTTTTTAGAGTTTTGTGCTGTACACTGTAAAGTTAGAACGTCGTAGGGATTTCCACGCCCCCAACCATCGACGTTCTAACTGATGACGATCGATCGGTGCTCTATGGACGTTGTTTTCGTGGTTTGCAAATGCATTTTCTGCTCCAATTTTGTGGCAGATTTTTTTTTTAAATAGAAACGACCATTTACCTTGACTTAGATCGAAAAAACGCGTATTACTATGCCAGTTGTCCGTTCGCAATACTATTTTTAAGCCAATCGCAGTCAGTGTTTAGCGGCGTTGATCACCCGCAGTGTTCGAAAAATCAAATAAATTTCATTGTTTTTACACTTGGAAACGTTTATGACATTTCGGCATTTTTTTGCCGTTCGCGCATTTGTTGATGTTGGGCGGCATGCCAATCAGATTCCTTCGATTCGAGAAAACTGTTTTATGAGGTAAAATAATTGGCTGTTGTTCGGGAAGGGAGCATGGAAAAGGCCGAAGTTGGTTGCCTGGGGTAAAATCCGTTTGGCTGGACATTTCTGGAAAAATCCTGCCGGCTTCAAGGCGAACGGAATCAATTGCCGATTATCGAATGGATTGAACGTGCAATATTGTGCAGCTGGTGCTGTAATAACGAAAATAAACACGAATCTCAAGTACGCACGTAAAATAACGTCAAATTTATGGCAAAATCGCGTTTGCTGACATTTGGAGCTGAGGCGCATACGTGGCCGAAGGCCTATTTTTAGGATTTGGGCCTTTGGCGGACGTTGCCATTCTCCGCCAAGCCTAAACCTGGAGTATCGAAAACGCAAATTTCCCTCGAAGTCCCATTCATAAACACTAGCCCGAACTGGGTCCAAACACTGTTTGGCAATGCCACTTTTCTTGAGTTTCCCAGTTTCATTTTTGCGTTCCATTAGTGCCATCGAGCAACTGCTACCTCAATCTGATGGAAATTAGGAATTCCCATTACATAACGCTATTTTTAGTTTATCGTCCATAAAGGAATTATCGAACGTGCACCGTTAAACCTGAATTATGAACTTATTGGAGAAACGCCCGTGGAATTTACCAGCAGCAGCTACTGTTAATAATAACGAAGAGCCGGCCGGGACCCATTCTGTTGGCGAAAAACTCATTTTTCCTCGAAATATCGCTGTTTTATATCGGGGTCGTAAAGCGACTTTAGATGTTCGGCAGCATGGACAAAGGGCGCAATTATCCAAAACTCCGAATAACCGGACATTTTTATGCGCGACACTCAAACTTCCGGTTAGCACCTCATTACGTCCACAATTTTTTCCCGGCCCTCCAAGTGCCTAATAAAACCCTTCACTTTGCGAGCTGTTCAGCTCTAATTCGTCTCTAATTGGACCGAAAGACGACAAAAAAACTGCTTGAATTCCTTCCGAATACTTTTGCTCTTATGATTAGTCTTGGGCAGCGTTCACGTTTCAGTCGTTTAGGGTTCTTTTGCTGTGCATGCGTTTCGAGGCTTGGTTATACGAACTCAACATTTGCAAACTAAGAACGAAAGTAGAACAATTCACAGTCACTTCAAGCTCTAGTCTTTGATAGAGTCGTTTTGGCTCTTTTGAGCGCCGTATCGATTAGGGTTCTCTTGCTATCAATTTGTGAGCAATTCGCGGTTTGAGGTTTGATTCTGCAAACTCAGCTTTGCAACAGAAATAGGAAATCATCAAAACTTGCATTCAGTTCAAGCTTTAAACGCCTATAGAGGCTCTTTTCAACGCCGCACAGAGCACATTTCTACCGATTAGGGATCTCTTGTTCCCAATTTTTTAAAGTTAGTCGGTTAAAGGTTCGCCTATGCATCCTAAGAACCATAGAACAAGGCTTATATAGAAACGACTCTTCCTCTTGTAGAAAGTGTGTCGCTAAAGTGGCGCGCCCTGGTGGCTGAGAATTAAATA